CTACTCCTGCTGAGTCTTCTGAAGTCTCTCATGTCTCCTCTGCTCCCAGTGAATCTCCTGAAGTCTCTCATGTCCCCTCTACTCCTGCTGAGTCTCCTCCTGCAGACTGACTGGTTGATTGACAGGGAGGAGCGGGACAGAGCCTGGGACAGAGCCTGGGACAGAGCCCGGGACATTGTGCGTTGCTGCCCTGATCCAGCCAGAGATGAGATTAAGTTACTGGGGGTTGATGGAGATCACGTCCCCGGGTGAAAACCTGGTTCTCATTTCAGATCATTTCAAAGGCTTGTGGAGGTGGAGGGGAGCGACAGTGACATTTCTAAAGTGCAGTTTTATGTTAAACACGTAGTTTTAGGTATTTTATCTTCTGATTTTCCAAATGTTCATCTTTTCAAATAATTTTTAAGATTATGTGTTAAGCCGGAACTTTGCTGTGATGCTCTGCTACATGTAGACGACATCGAGTATCAGACATACAACACATAATCTACCTTGATACTCGATATATTAATCCTCAATGTATTATATATTCTTATATTGATACATCCACACTGCTATATATCAATATGTCACATCATATATCACTAATTATTTCAACTTTCTTTGTATAACTATAAAAATGAACATGTCTTTCATGAAACAGGACGTGTTGTGTTACTAAAATCAAGAAAAATTACCTAATATAACAGGAAAGACAAAATTTAACTTCACTGGCTCACATTTGTCCTTTTTCAAAAATAAAATTAAGTTTTCAGATTCAATTATTTGATCTAATGGATATCTTTGAATGCTACGTTGTCTTTTCCTTATATTTCTATATATTGTCAGGTCTGAAGGTTTCAAATGTCTTTAGTTTAAGAACGGTTGGTTTTCTGTGATAAACACCTCCAATTCTTTTTACATTATCTAATATATTTCTTTTCATTTGTTTGCATTTGCTCTGAGAATATTTCCTGTTGTTAAAAATGGCAGCCAGGACTATTCTAAATTAGACTTTGAGGTTCAGCAGCGACCACTTCCCCTCCAGCTCTTCCAGGTGCTGTGATAATTCCAACACTTCCTGTGTCCATAATCTCCGCGGCCTGCAGATGCAGATCACTGATCAAAGCTGAGAAAACATCTGCATCCTCCAGACTAATGAGGACCATGCACCCACTGTCATGTCTCCCCGGCACAGGTTAGTGTCACCGGGCTACATGATCCGGCCCCGATGTTAATCTATTCACACTCGCTCTCTTCAAACCAATTGATTTACAGGAAAAGACACAGATAACCGTCCAAATTCCTCTGAGCTTTAAAAAAAAAACTTCAACAAAGACATGAAGCTCAGATCTGTTTTTCTTCTCTCTTTGGATAACACAGGCCTTCAGACTCTAATAGCTCAAGATTGACCCAGTCCACCACATATTAGATTCCAGAGCAGCCAGAGATGATAAAGCGACTAATTACTTGTTTTCCTAAAGGCTTCAAAACTGTTATTTTACTGTCGGCTATAATTGGAGCAGCGGGCTGGTGTTAGGGCTCGGCCGGGGCTGATAAAAAGCAGCTGAGGGTCAGGTATCTTACAGGCTCCTGCTGGTCCTCATTCAGAGGTTGGGACCTCATTTGCTGGGTCAAGGCTTTTCAGCGGTGGGCTCAGATTAACCGAGAAAGCACACAGGAATTCCACATTCTCCACGCTGCTGCTGCTGCAGCCATGTTTAGATATCAAAAGATAAGAACAATGGAAACTTAGACCGTCCAGAGGTGGAGGCCAGAGACACACAGGAAGACAAGATGGACATTTTTCATATAATGCTAATATAGTCTGAGGGATGTTGTTGATTATGTTGGCTCAGTACGTCTGATATTTATCATGACTTTCTCTTCTGGTAACTAAATCAAACATTGAAAGGGGGGGGGAGTGAGCGACCTTTTTGTTCCCCATAGTACTTTCAAGTATGTTTTGGAATATTTTAGCAGTAACTTTATTTAACCTATAAAGATTCCATAAACTGTAAAAAGATTGTATATAAAGATAGACAAAGCATCTCCAGTTCCTCCTGCTGCCCAAAAATTAAGTTAAAATAACTTGGAGAATCTGCTCAATATGACCAATACTGCAACCAGCCACCAGGGGGCGATCAAGATGATTCATCTTCACTTTTTGTTGTAGTATTATCATGTTAATCTGTATCTACATTTAGAAGAACGTATTCAGACATTACATTTTTGTAATAAGAG